AAATTATCAACTCAAGGCAACTATACATAGTAAAATACATCCTTATGCTACCGCCTTTATTAAAACAATGTTTGTCTAATACCTGCCACATTTTAAGAGGTGTTCCAAGTGCTGGAAGAAGTCTGAAAAGTCCTGGCAGAGAATAAAACAAAGTCCCTACACTCATGAAGTTTACATTCTAGTTACGATGTGGAGGTATGAGAAACAAAAGCATTGTCTTGCCTTTGAGGAGCATTATATATACTTTGTACTGGGGATTGAACCATGCGGAGCTTTATCACTGTATCCCAAGTCCCTTTTTTGATAAAAAATATTTTATTTCAAGACAGGGTCTTCCTACATTGCCAAGGCCAAACTTAAATTTGTAATCCTCCTGCCTCAGTCTCTAGAGTAGCTGGAATTATAGGCATGTACCACTGCACCTGGCAAGGAGCTTATAATTTTAAGTGGTTAAATGAATAATATACCTGACCAAAGCAAAATACAAAATCAGACAGAATCAGTTACTAAACTGAATGATGATGACAGGAGAAGACAAATTTTATCTTCTCTGGAAGAAGGTTTCGCAATAGTTTTGTAAGTAAAGCTTATCCAGGATACTTGAGGCATTTCTAGAATGCTACAGGAAGGTAGAAATGCGTTGGCTTTTCTGTTAGCCGTGGCAAAATTCTACATACTGGGGCAAACTATTTCAAAATGGAAATCGAATACTTTGCCTACAAATAAGGTATGTTCTCAGTACCTTCTACATAAACATTGATTAATGATTTCTATGGGTCATACATTGCAGTTTACCTAAAGTCTAACCTGGTGACCTGGTAAAAGTCTGTCTGGTAAGAGGATGCTCCCAGTAGAACTGGGAAGGCTGAGGCTTCTGTTTGTCTGTCATAGGTGAACAGGGGAGAGAGATCAGGCTCAACGAACAAAGTAAAGACATAAGAGGCCAAGAAGGTATCATCAGACTCTCCAGGCAAGATCTAGGTCCAGGAAATGGAGAATATGTGAGTGCATCTCCAGGATGCAGATGATATTGAAGCTGAGTTGATATTCTTAGTAATTTTAAAAAATTTGTCCATTCATTATTCTAGTGACTTAAAATGCACTGGACACTGTACTTACTGCTGTGAGTTCAAATGTGAGTCTGTCACAGTGCCCGCTGCACCATCTGTTGGGAAAAACTGAAGGGAAAGAGATCCGTGACCTTTTACCTCTAAGAGCACCTACAACGGGTGCATGAGCAGGGTGCTGTGGGAGCTCACTGGAGCACACTGCCATTCCTCCTGCTACGTGGGTGGGCCAGGAGGCACAGGTGTGAGTGTCTGCCAACAGAGGCAGCAATAGAGCCCCCAGGTGTTCATACTTAAGGTTGGGGCCAAGGAAAGGCCTTCAGGATTTTCTTTTGGTAAGTAATTAATACATGTTTCATGTGAAATGCCAAGAGCATGAAAAGACCTCGCAGGTGCTAAGTGTTATTATAACATATTAAAATAATGAGAGCCTTGCTCATCTTGCTCTTCCTATCTTAGTGGTTATTTTCAACACTGCCTGCAGATTGGAATGACCTGGGGATCATTGAAAACTGCCAGTGCTCAGGCCTATCCCTAAAGATTGGATTTAGTTGACTTGGGATGAAGCCTGAGCAGGAGGAAGTCTAAAACTCTCCCCAGATGATTCTAATACATAGGCAGGGTTGAGGTCCAATAGAAGCAACTCTAAGCACTCCCTTCCGTTTATTCTTAGCCTAATCAATTCCTGACACTCAACTTAAGACCCATCTCTTCTGTGAAGTCTTCCCTGCAAGCTCCGATTCATTCATTTACATTATGGCTGGGAGATGATTTTTCTCTCATCCATCTAATACCCATTTCGAACTTTTATCTCCAAAGTGAGTCCCTCAACCACATAAGGTTTAATTCTGATAATAAATTCCATATTCCATGATAGTCATGACGGTTCTACTTCCATGATTAAACCTTGATTAATACAACACCTGATTAATCATCATCCTTGCTATGCTCTCCCAACATACAGCTGTCCCATAGGGTCTCAAAGCAAAGCATCCATTAGGGTGGCCACAATACTCCATATAACCTTCAGAGAGCTCATTCTGCAATTATTGGTGCCTAGATATGAGGACTGTCTCTCAGTGAGTGCCAGAGGAGAGTGAGTAGTGATACTGCTTCAAAACATTAAGAACTTGGCAGCATCTCCTCATTTATAGAGACCCTTGGGGCTTTAGGGATGACCATCAATGACCCATGATCTGCATGAAAGCTTGGGACACTGTGTGAGGAAGCCAAGTGACCAGCAAAGGAATGTGTTCCCAACAAGCCCCCAGAGAGAGAAAATTACTTTAGAAGAATGATTGAAAATGTGGAAATCAAAGAGACTAGAAGTTTGTTAATGGCAACCTAAGAGATAATTTGAGATGCTCCAAACCAAAGAGAGCCCTCTGTGGAACAGACAACACATTTATTTTCCAGAAGACTTGAGATTTCAAGTCCAGCCTGCCCACAGCCAGAGGAGATTGTGAGATGTTTACATTTGAACCAATGATACCAGCAGTTGAGGTTTTGAATCCCATCACAGTTTGGGTCAGTGCCAACCAAATGCTGCTTTGGATAGTTTGTCTACAGAACTTGGGGCAATTCAACAGCCCACCCAGATATAGGTTAGACATAGAAATACTCACACTTATGAATGGTGTTTTAGTCCATTCAGGGTGCTATAGCAAAAATACTTTAGACTGGCTAATTTGTAAACCATAGAACTTTATTGTTTACAACTAGGGGGGCTGTGAAGTCCAAGGTCAAGGTGCCAGCAGGTTCAGTGTCTGCTGAGGGCTCTCTCTGCTTCAAAGATGGCACCTTCTTGCTTTGTCCTTACAAGGTGAAGATGGTGAACAAGCTCTCTCAGATTTCTCTTACAAGGGCATGAATTCCATTCACGAGGGTAGAGCCTTCGAGACTTCTGCAACTCCAAAGGCCCCAGGGCCATCTTAATGCCATCAGTTTCATAGGAATTTTGCAGGGGACACAAACATTCAGGTCATAATACCTGGTTTTCAGAGTAATTAGTAAAATATGTCTTTGTTTTGTTAACAAATATGTCTTTGTGATTTTCTTTTTCCATGCATTTCATGAAAGTATCTATGTGCAGATTTCTAACATTACTCAGGTTGGACTGATGAGGAAAGTTATTTTGCCCATTTCAGACCACTGGGTAGATGGGGACCTGGTTGGTCCCTGAAGTTCTGGGCAATAGCATCATTTCTTCAGACTTTGCAGAGGGAAGCTGAGGGCTGGTGGGAACCTTACAGTTTCCCTTTCTTTACTCTCCTTCTGAGCCTCCCTGTGGGAAAACTCTCTCCCTTCCTTCCTGGAGCAAGAGGAAGAACTATTGCCAAAGTCAGTTCAAAGGATCTGGAGGTGAACCTGAGGTCCCAAACTATGTGCTGACCCCTTTCCTCTAACTGCAATTGATCCTTACCCTCCCCTCCCCAAATTATCCCAAACCTGAAAAATATTTCCAAACCCCAAATGAAGCAGTGCTCCAAGCAGCTGGCTAGTGGACAGCTGCAGTAGGGTGAGCCGGCAGCTCCACCTGGAGGGATAGGGTTACCCTGAGATACTCAGGCTGAAACTTGGAGCTGTCTTCTTTCTGCCTTACATGTAAATAAAGGGAGGGAAATGTCAGTTGATATTATGTTTCAACTGGGAGGTTAAATCTTGTAGGTCACCTTCAAATGCTAATCAGCTTCCTGGAATGTGTGATAGGAGGGACTTCCCAGGGTCTATAGCTGCTGCCTGTAGCTGTGGTGGATGATACTAGAGCTCTGATCCTACATCAGGGTGTCTTCTACTTTAGCCCTTTTGGTTTATCCTGAAGATGGTAGAACTTGTTCCTCTTACTTTGGCATTCTGGTGCTGCTATGAGTAGGCACAGCTTCTCCAGCTTACCAGCTCCCCAGATAAGTCCCTAGATTCTTGGAGGTGTGTACATGGAAGCAAGCAAAGGTGATGTGATCCCTACCGCACCCCACCTGAGCTCCGAGAAGCAAAGTCTTCTCAGGGGATGGGACTCACAAAGCCAAAATTAGGAGGTGACAAATCTTGGAAAACAGAACTGGAGCAAAATACCAAAGTTAGTCTACACAGAAAAAAATCAAGGAGAGAACTCAGTCAAGGCCTAGACCCTGGTTAGCACCATGGGAAACACCAATTCCAGGGACTGTTGGCATTTCTGGGAGAGCAAAGGCCAGAAGCAGATCTAAACTTACAAAGAGAAAGGCATGGGAATTAGGTCTGAAGATCTTCTAAAACAATTCTCTTAATAAGTTTCCCCAGAGGGCAGGGTTCCCCCAGGGCCTGAGTTCTGTTACCAGAAGGAAGCCTCTCTATCTGTTTTAAAGGGCCAGTTATCAGAATTGTTTACAATTTCCTTTCACAGATTTTTTTTTTGTTTGTTTTTCCTCCCAAACACTGGAGTATTGAGACAGCTTTGGCTTTGCTTCCCAGAGTTCTGATCTTTAAAGATGATTTTCAAACTCAGTTCCTGTCCCCTTCTACCTGTTAATTTTTACCTGAGCATGTAGCTTAGTACCAAGTGCAGCAGTTAGCCCAAGGTTCAAGCTGACTAATTCAAGTTCACTTAAAACACCAAAGATTAAAAAACTGAATGCTTAATCCTGTGTTCCTGGCGCCTTTTAAATTTATCCCATGTAAAACATCTGTTTGGGGTTGGGGATGTGTCTCAGTGGTAGAGTGCTATGCCTAGCATGTATAAGGCCTTGGGGTTTGATCCCCAACTCCAAAAACAAAACAAAACAAAAAATCAAATCAATAAATAAATAGTGTTAAGGGCAGGTAATGAGTTGCTATTCCCCTTTGTACTTGCATTTTAATAGAACATTTACTTTGCTACAAATTTCCCCTCATGCAGGAAGGAAGAACCTGCCCATTTGGTCACCTGTTCAATAGTGTCCTTTGGGCATTGTCTGTTCTACCTCCTAGCACAAGGGCAAAACTGAAGCGAAGGACAGAGCGGCACATGGGACTTCATGAACTTCTCTTGGCCAATGGAATCAAGGCAGCTGGCGACTCCTGAATCTGTTTACAGACGTGCTGAAAGTTGAGATTAATCTGCAGGATTGGATACAACGTTTGGATCGCTTGCCAAATGTGGGGTAAACTGACTTAGGCTGCTCTAAACCCTGGCTTCCACGGAAACTGAAGTTTCTCCCTTTCTCATCTTTTCTGAACTCCTTGGGCTTTACAGTTAGTGTTTGGCTTAGAAAGGGATTCAGTGTCTTTTATTATATAGTTTCCATGTCAACCCCAATGCCGCATGGGGAGGGACCTTGTATTTAAGGGGCAGCCACAAGCAGACAACAGCAATCTGCATGTTTTTGTTTTTCTTTTCTTTTTGTCCCTGGGGTAATTTTGAAGGAGACCATGTTGGTATTTCGAACTTACCCCTCCACTTTTTAATTTCTTTTCCCTTTGTAAGTGCCTCATCTATCATTTTCATGACTTTGTGGTCGTAGGCTGTCCTTCCTTCAAGAAGAAAGTAATCTGATAATCGAGCCTACATTAAGTATTCAGAATTGAGTGCGTTATTCCTTTAAGGGCTATTTAGATTTTAAAAGAGGTTAGAAGAAGAGGGCAATACTTAAACCCTATTTGTCTTCCATGCAAGAAACTTCTTTGACCCAGAATATAAAGTATCAGTTCCCATGAGCCAAGAATACTTAGACCTCTTTAAAAAAGTTCAGCCCTTTCTTGACTGGAGCATTAGTTCATTGTAGCTCAATTCATTTCATTGGTATTACTGCTAAATCAAAGGCACTGATAGATTATCTTTCTTCTTGATAACACAAAAGATTATAGAACTGTGAAGGGATATTGGGATAGGAGAGGCAGGGTTTGCCAAGCGATAGAGCAAAATGCCCCCAGAAGTTGGGCATGCATTGTTTGTGTAATTATTGACCACCACTACTGATTGATGTTCAAGGTGTGATCTGCTCTGAACTCTACTAACACCTTAAAGTCTTCAATCATTTTTAGACATCCGTTCTAGTGAAAAGATAAACTTAAAATAATAATTACCCTGGCACTCTACAAAGTACAATCATTTTGTTAGGACTGCAATATCAGTAGGAACATACATGGCAATATCATTAGTTACAATGGTTTAGCTGTATGTGACATAGAACATTGGTGAGACACAAGGTCCCTAGTTGAAATACATATGACATCCAACAAACAAGCAAAAAGTATTTCTACTACATTTATTCCTGACACAGAGAAGTTTGTTGAAAGAAGCTTTTCTGTCAATAATACATAACACAATGATGGTTGACGTTTGGAGCTGGAAGACAGAACCCTGGGGATGTATGTGACATGGTAGATAAACACATGAATACTAAGAATGTTGCATTTTTTCAATTGGCATTGGGGAAAAAAAAACCCACTTGACTTGTATATCTACAAATATTTGGCTTTTTTTTTTTTAGGTAAGCATGTGTTCCAGAAGCTGTATAGTTATAATAATGTCTTGTGTTAAAATAGAACTCATCATTTAGAAAGATGAGAAAACAATTCTTTAAATTTACCCTTCATGCATTTCCTCACCACACCCATATTTATTCTGTTTTTAAAGTAAAAATTTATTGAAATATATCATATATACAGAAAAGTATCCAAGTCACAAAGTGACTATGCACTTTGTCTCCACCCTGCAGAACAAGGAGAGGAACAGTACTAGGGTAGGAGAGGCTTCCTACACAGGGCCCTTGTCACAGCCGGACAGGACCATGACCTTGATTTTTAACACTACAGATTGATTTTTGTCTCCTTTTGAATACTGTGCATATAGAATTGCTGTGTTTCATCTTATATTTATAAAGTTTTATCTGTATTTATACAGCAACACCTACTGTTCTTTGGCAGGGTGGTACGATTCGTTCACTGTGGTGTGTAGTTTTAGTTTAATCCCTTTCATTGCTGTGAAGTTTGTCTTTGGAAGAGTTTACATCATATTATGTGGACTCATTCTTCTGTTGATAGACTTTGCCATTTATAATTTTGCACTATTTTGAATAGTGCTGCAATGACCATTATTGTACATGTCTTTTTGTAAACATACTATTCATATTTCCATTGAGTGTATGTTTTGGAGTTAAAATACCAGGGTAGAAGTTTTACTTAGATTTAGTGGTGGCTGTTGATAATTCAAACTTTTATTGATGGACTCTGGGTGCTCTAGCCATCATCCACCTACAAGTAGTATTATTATTGGTATTTAATCATTGTAGCCTTTGTGTGTTGCTGTATTTTATCTTATTCTCAATTTTTATCTTACTTTCATTATAATGTGGTATCTAATGGTTGAGCACTTTTCATATGTTAATTTGCCATTTGGATCTTGTGAAATTTCCCTATAAATGTTTTGTTAATTTTTCTGCTGTTTTTCCTATTGGTGCAAAGGAGTTCTTTGTATATGCAAGGGATGAGTCTTTTTTTGTGGTTGTTTTATATTCTAGTAATATGAAATATCCTCTCACTCTCACTTCTCTGTGCTTTTACTTCTCTCTCTCTTTTTAGGTGGGGACTTTCTATGTTGCTGAGTCTACTCTTGAACTCTTGGTATGAAGGGATCCTCCTGCCTTAGCCTCCTGAATGCTGGATACAGAGTATGTCATCATGCCTGGCTCCTTTTAACTCCTAATGGCTTCTTTTCATAAACAAAGTTCTTAAATTAACTGAATTTATTAGTATTTCTAGTGCTTTTTGTATTTCTTCTGAAACAATTATTGGTTTTCCTTTAACATTTAGATCTGTAGTCCATCTAGGATTGATTTTTTACTTATAATAAAGTTTTGTACATAAGCACCATTTATTGAAAACCCCATCTCTTTCCCAAGGTACTATAATGTTATATTGTTGTAACGTGAGACGGGGTGACAGGCATAGATCAGTTTCTGGGTTCTGTATTCTATACTACCCACTTTGGTTTTTCTACCCTTTTGCCCATGGAACACTTTCTTAAGTACTCTAACTTAGAATTGTTTTTGCTATCTGACAGTATAAATTCTTCAACTGAAGACCCAAAACAGGATTTTTACTTCTCTAAGATTACTTGAGGTATTTTTAGCCCTTTGCATGAACATTTAAGTATTTAAATATTAGAATAAGCTTTTCAATTTATATATATATATATATATATATATATATATATATATATATATATATATATATATACACACACACACACACACACACATCTATTTTATTGGGATTAACTTGAACCTGTAGTTAATTTTGACATAATATCTTTACAATATTGAGTATGCCAACCCAAGGTCATGGTTTGTGCTTTAATTTATTTAGTTTTGCTTATGTTTCTCTCAGTAATACATCATTGTTTCTAATGTTTGTGTCTTGCATAGGTTTTGTTAGATTTATTGCTATACATTTAATGTTTTAGATGCTGCTGGGAATTTTAAATTATATTTAAAATATTTTTATTTGCTTGCTGCTTGTCTGTAGAAGCACAATTGATAATTCCTTCAAATATTGTTTTGCCCATCTCCTCATTCTTGCTCTTCTCACTATAACTTCTTCTTCACTAAAAGCTCTTCTCAGGCTCTAATAATTATATATTTTTTAAAAAATATGCTTATATGTTTCATATGCACTTCTCCATGTTTTCTATTCTTCTTGCTTTCTGTATCTTTTTTATCTATCTAATTCAGTGCTTTTACACTGGTATTTTAATTGACTCTTGGGTACTTATTCAGGAAATCTATTTTTCAGTTCTGAAATTTCTATTGATTCCTTTTTTTAAAAAAAATGAGTTCTGGTTACATTTCTATTTTTAAAATTTTTGTCCATATTGTTGACTATTTTATAATATTTGTATCACTTTAGCTTCAAAATGTTTAGTCTTCCCAAAGGCATTATCTAGATTAATTGCAAGTTAATTGTTTGTTTATTTTTCTCTTTGTTTCCAATTGTATGGATCTATTATCTTTAGCATGCTCAATAATTTTAATTGACTAGTTAATATTGTGGATAAAATTTGTTAATAACCAAATGATGTCACTTTCCTTCTTGAGAGTCACCTTTTCCTCTATCAGCAGATTCAATAGTGGCTAATCATTCTATGGCACCTGGGTTGCAGTTTTTGAAAGACCCAAACTACCTCAGATCTTTCTTCTCAGGTGTGAACTTGAAGCAGTTTCAATTGAGACGTGGCTCCTGAACATCAATTTTCCATCTTTAGGACTACCATATTATCAAAAGCTCTGTTCTGTTTTTCAGGGCTCCCGATTGTCCTTTAGTTTTAGAATTTGGCAAGTATCTTGAGGGAGAAATCATATGTGGACTTGGATTATTTCAAGTTTCCACTGTGGCATCTTCAGTCCTGTGAGTCTCCCAGTGATGTCAGCTACCTAGTCCCAGGAGTGGTCTTCCAATCAGGAAAGTTCTGGCCTGGATGTTCCTCCTCCTCTTCTCCTGTTAGTCAAATCATCCAGCACTCTTCAGGAAAGAGAGACTTCCAGTCATTAGCTCATCGCTCAGTTCTCACTCACTGAAATCTTGATTCATCTAAACATCACTGCCCCCCCAGCAATTTTTGGATGGCTTTAAGTATATGGTTTTAATATATTATAGGCTTTTCTAGTTGTTCTCTGGGAAATTCCATGAGCTGCTCTATCCATGCTGCTAGGAAGGAGCCCCTCCACTTGTTCTGAACTGAACATATTTGCTGATGTGGCTCACTCACCAAGTATTGCCCTCTCACCCTCTTCCACTCCTTAACTCCTTCTTCTGTCCACATGCAATTCATGTTTCATGATTCCAGATCATGCCTCATCTGTTCCTTGATGTTTTCCTGGGTACCTTAGAAGTCACTCTGGCTGTTTCTCTCCTAAACATTTTCTGAGTTTTTTTGTTTTGTGTGTGTATGTTTTTTTTTTTAGCATAGAAAGTCTCACTCTTGATTTTCTTGGTCTATTCTTTAAATTATGAATTGATTTTGTGCATGTAAGGTTTCTGTCCATTTGAGTATTCTGGACTCATAAGACATTTTTTTTCCCTGTTCTTCACAACATATAGCATAGCTCTGATTAGCAGTGTGTCCTTTATTCAAATATTTAAAAACAAAAACAAATTTTATAGCTGTATTATCTTCTGGGTATAAACACTCCTCTTTTCATTTCAAAGTGGAAAATAGAGTTAATCATTGTAGGTCTTCTCCTTGAAAGAATTAAACTGAGAAAGAATTCAAGGAGATCTGAATACTGTGTGTTTTAGAAATAAAGATAAAAAGGCTGTGTACTATTTGTAAGCTCTATGATTGTGTGTCTTGCCACTTTTTTTTATTGACCCCCTAATGACTTCTCTAATGTCTTTGTGTTGCTAAAATGAAATACAGTCTCTGGGAGGGGCTGTATATATGATCCAATACAGTTTTACCACCCAATTTATAGTTGACAAAACAATGAGCAAAACTTGCTTTCCCAAGGAACACAGTACATAGGTAGTAGTTGACATCAATGCACTCTCTTTTCTACATTTATCTTATACTTCAGTGTTTTTAAACTGAGTTATCTTGGATTTACTTGAAGTGATCCTGATAATCAGACAGTCAAAACTGAGAAAAGAGGCAGAAGCCCCAACCTGAATCTTGCATGAATACCTGGTCTGGGAGTGAGATCATCTCACTCTCAGGCATTGTTTTTCAGACAGTCTTTGCTTATTCATTAGTTCTTATTAGATGTATAGATGATTGTGTGCTGTGTGTTCGTGCATGTGTAAAATAATCTCTGCATGAAAGTCATTTTGCTAATTGTATTAGAAGTGAAAAGAAAGAGATTCAATAACATAATGATTTTTAGAAAAGAGTAATTGGACTACATTTAAGAATGGAATGCATTAGAAGTATGGGACCAATAATGATCTGAAGGGTGTAATTTGAAATTTCATTTATAGTTCGTAGCATATTAAAGGGGAAATTATGTGTTATTTTGGTATTCTAGAATTTGAATCTTCATATTCCTTCTGATTTTAAATGGCCTTCACTCGAAGTTCACTTTTGTTGTTTTCCTGGATGTTCTATTTCTTCCAAATGATTGCTACCTCATTGAGGGCAAAGATCAGTTATATTCTTCCCCACCCTCTGCACTTGGAGCTAAGTTCAAGTCCATAACAGGACATTTGTTCATTTTCTCTGGATGAGGAAGTCCTTTGATGTTCACAACTATTTCTGTCTCTCCACCTTTGAGACAGAGGAGAAGATTAAATTTACTGTCCCCTCATGGTTGGGTGGGGACATGTGACTAATTTTAGTTAATGAGTTGTGAAAAGAATTGTTGTATGCCACTTCCAGGCCAGAGCATTTAATTACCAATGAGTCCCACAAGAATACTCTTTCTCAGTGCTGCCAGGACTGTCAACATCCAGGTAGTGGCTGTTCTATCAACCTGGGGCCTGATGTGAGCTTGCAAAGGAACTGAGCCCTCTGCCCACCTAAGATGGGTATGTAGTTTGGAACAGAAATGAACATTCATTGCTCTCAAAAGTTAGAATTTTGAGGTGTCTGTTAGGATAGCACTATTGACCCATCCTGAATGAGACACTATTTCTGAGGTTTCCATGTCCAGATTGCTTTAGGAGAAGACCAGACATGTGGAAACAACTGCATCACAAATTCATTTTCTTGGCTAACTAGGCAGCAGGATCACTGGTACCATCTTTTCCTACCCAAAGGTAGAAGCAAGTTGGTTCTACCAGAAGTATGGGCACTTAGGAGAACAAATCCATACAAAATCAGATTATGTTATTGGTGCCACCATGATGGGGTACTATAGGAGACCTGAGTACTTGACCAAATTATTGTCATGTATTATTAGTGATGTAACACCTGATGAAGGGTTCTGTCTATACATATATTTGAATGTACTCTCTAGGCTTTAGACATGCTTTTCAGAGACCATTTATGAACACCATATTTTTCCTCTGAGTATTTGAAAAATGTCTTTCCTACCTTCACTCTGTGCTCTCAGATCCTGTGGAATGAGTACATTTTTAAGGAAGAAAACAATCAATTTTCCAGCAGCATATTATGACCTTGAATACTTGGTCACATCCTCCCTTAGCAGTTTCTTCTGGTGTATTAGCATTCTTGTACTTCACAATATCTTTACCTTTTCAGCTACTCTCAGCTTAGTACTCTCATGTATTTCCTGATTATTGTGTCTTTTTAGATTGAGGGCATGCAATTGGGGCACTGAAGAAGGTTCCTCATATAGGGATGCTGGCAATCTTCCTGCACAGATATAAAAGTTCACTTCTAGAGTCCTTCCTGGCAGTACTCTGAAGGAGTACCTATACTGTTGGAGCAGTATAGGTAACTCCAGTGGGAAGACAGGCCACAAGAATATCTAAAATTTTGCATGGGAAAGAAGGGAATACGTTATTTTTCAGATTCTTATTATCTATTGTCAATATTCCTGGTTAATGTCATAGAGATCCAAAGTCAACTAAAATAAATAAATAAATAAACAAATAAATAAAAACAAAAGAGATTCTCTACTTTGACTACTTTGCAGATTTTTTGATGTTGTTATTGTGTTCATTCTATATTTATTGAGAAGCAAAAAAAAAAAACAAACAAGCAAAATTAGACAAAATAAAATCCAAACCTTTTGCAATATGGTGAAGCCCTGGGGAAAACAGATATGAGTTAGAAACTCATCCATCCATCCATCCATTCTTTCAAGTATTTTTAATTTGTTCATTCAGCAAATAAATATGGAGAATAATACATGGTTTTCTAAAAACAAGAAAATAGATATCAATAATTCTTCATCCTAACAATTATTATATGTTTTTATATTAAGGAGAGCTCTTCAAAATATCTTGTAAGTATTCTTATTGAGTTCTCAGTGCTGTGTTTTTATTGTTTTGTTTTGTTCATTTCAGAGAGGAAGAATGGAAGAATGTGAAGCCAGAAAAACTTTGTCCTCTGTCCAAGGTCAACACAGCAGGTCAGTGGCACACTGTGACATTGACCCAGGTTGTTGGTCCCCGAGCTTGTGTCCTAAACCTCCACACTAGGCTGTTTTCCCTTGTTATCTATGGAGCTTATCATCAAGAAAATGAGAATAGCCACAAAGTTGTCCCACACTCAGTGTTTGGGGCTCACCAGAGATTGGAAGAGTGGGTAAGAGTCTGGGTTCTTCAAAATGTCCCATTTTTATTTGTGTCTTCAATATCACCATGTGGTGGCATCTTCTTTGTAATTTCTTTTTTTTTAAATTTGTTTACTTAGTTACACATGACAGTACAATGATCTTGACATATCTTACATGTGAATCATATGGGATATAATTTCTCATTTTTCTGAGTATACAGGTTGCAGAATCACATTGGTCATGCAGTCACATATATACACGTAGTAATAATAATGTCTGTTTCTGAGAAGTAGCTAAGACTCTTGGAAGAAAAGAGTGAGGAGTCTTACCACTTTCCTTTGAGTTTATAGTTATTAAAATCAAGGTCTAGGGTGGCCCTAAGCAAAGCCCGAAAGGGAAGGATATGAAGCATCCCAAGGAGAAAATTTGTCAGAGCTAAGGAAGTGGTGATGGCAGAGTCCTGGATTTGTGACACACACACACACAAAGACAGGACCAATCATCGCAGAGAAGTTCTGGTTCTAGGGCTTCCTAATGCTTTCTGCTCATGATGCTCTGGGATCTCATGGAGGAAAATGTGGATGTGAACTGAATGTGTTGTACTGTTAAAATGCTCTAGCCTTTTTCATTGCGTATTTGTGTCTGAGACGTACTGGTACACCCGTGTCTCTGTGGTACATGGGGATTTAGCATTGCCATCAACACCAACACCTCCCTACCAAGGAGCTCTCCCAGAGGCCCACAGTGGGGGAAATCAGATCTCCAGGACAGTGTCTCTGAAGTGAGTCATTGTGCATCCCTATTGCAAAAAGAAAACAAAATCCAAAAACACCTGTAATATGCATAATGATTTATGTATAAATTATAAATACACATATAGATTATAAGCGTTCTGAACATGCACAAAATATAATATCCAGATGGTGCAAGGTAAAATACAGAATATTATAAAACATCTCCTGAAATACAATGGCTTCATAGCTATCAAGAGCTATCCAAAGACTCTATATACACTAAGGTGAGATTAAAAATTTATACTGCAAATAGGTCTAATTAAATAATTCGCTGTTCTCACCTCATAATGTTCCCAGTGAAGAGTTTATACTATATACTATTTCAGCTCTATTTTCTTGTTATCCATTTGTGTCTGCATTAGTACTGTAAACTTCAACTCATGGTTATTTTGCAGGAAGATTTTAAGCTAGTTTGCCTTATTGTGGAGGTAATGTAGTCAATACTAGACAACATTACCCACAAATACCCGTAATAAGGCACAAATGAGCTGCAGCCTATGTAGCTTTACTTGTAAAGCAAAAGGAAAATGAGGCTTCCACTTCCCATCCTTTTGCTTTTAAAAATTCCTACTCTTTCTTGAGGATTCCCGAGCATTGAACCTTGGAGCGGGCAAGAGACCTTTTCGCACAGTGTTCAGCACATGCAATTAAATGACCATAAGTCAACTTTTTAATTTGAAGATAACCTTAAATAGAAATTCTAATGATTTCCTCGAGCATCTCACAGGTCATCTTGCCAAACTAACTTTGGAGTCCACTCCTTTGAAACCCCATTTTCAAGTAGATATTTCTGATAAGGTGTTTCTTTTTAAAATTTGTTCTAATCAGTTATAATTGATAACAGAATGCTCTTCGATTCATTGTACACAAATGGAGTTGCTTTTGACATCACACAGATCATCAGTTTAGATACTGGGTGATGATCAGAATTACAAAAGGGTTTAGATGTTTTAAAGAGGCTGAGACCATTGTTTAGCTAAAAAGGATCAAGGGTGTGCATTGAGGAGAGGGGATTCAATCAGATCATTGAACAGGGGCAGGGATGCTGATAAAAATATAAGTACTCCTGGTGAAGGAAGAAAGAATTGAGCAAATACTGAGAACTCAAGGAAGTCAATTTAGGGGATAAAATCATGAGTTTAATTTTAGACATAATAGGTTTGCAGTATTGGGTAGACATATGGTAGCAAAGTCCCTCAAGTAGGTGGATCTTTGGGGTTTGTGTTTTGAAATAATCTCAGGAGTAGAAACGTTGATTTAAGATAAAAAGATTTCGGAAGAAAATTACTAAAGTCAGAAGTGGTTCATCAAGAGAGTGGTGAGAAAATAAAGAGTGCCTTTATACATAATGATTATATCAAATGCTCTTTGGAAGGCCTACTCTTTTTGGGTTTCTTTATCTTTCTGAAAAGCTGAAGCTATTGGAAGAGTGATTACCAGATTTGTGAGTTTTGTGGCCAAAATCTATTAAAATCCCAGTGCTGAACATGGACACTCATAGAAATTTTCCCATTGGAAGGGACAGTTTGGTCATGTGGGTGGCAAAGAGAGAATCAGATTGGAATCATTTGAGAACATGAATTAGGACTTCTCAACAGTGATGAATATTTAAAGGTATATGATCATGACAGAAACAGATTGTGTATTAATATTGAAGTACAAGATCAAGAGGATACTCTTTGAAGCATTAAGGAAACAATTAAAAAATTAAAGCAAGTCCTACTGAACTGGCTCACCAAATACTGATGGCATTCCCAACTTTAGCCAGAGTCATAACAGATGACAACACAGTGTCTTCCCTAAAGTGTGTGTGTGTGTATATACACACCTATATATAGCTATATTTATATATGTATATATACCTACAGCTATATATATATATACCAATACATATATACAGATATATATATATATATATATATATACATATATATATATATATACACACACATACATATATAGAGATATATATACATATATACATATATATATATATATTTACGTACCTACATGTAAATATATATATATATATATATATATAGATATAGATATAGATATAGATATAATTTGGAATATGTAAGTGTATATCTATATCTCTCTATATACCTCTATCTATATAATATGTATTACATACATATTATATATATACATATATATATATATATATATATATGTAGGTAGAATTTTGAATGGGATAATTAATTGTCTACGTAGTGGTAAGGGTAATGGTACTACAGGTATTTTAGGGAATAATTTGTTCTTATTTATTGAGGAGAAACTTATGCTGCATCTTGATGAGTTGCATTTTTTTGTATGGAATTAAAAGTATTTTATTCATAATTTTTAATGTCAATGCACGAGGTATCATTATTGTTCTGTTTGAATATTTAGAGCACTGAAGTATATAGCATTAGGGTTTCTTCAGTATGCTCTTGAAAAATGTGACGCATGAAACTTCAGAAACATGTACCTGAGATGATGAAAATGTTATTTGCATATATGCATATCCCACAATGAAACCTATTATTCTGTAAAATTAAGAAGTACTAATAAAACTGCATCCATGATGTAGAAGTGACAGGCACCAACGTCAAGAAGCACTACTAGGACACTGTGGGGTGAGCCCTGGATTTAGAGTCACACTTCTATTTATCTCGATTTCCAGACATTGAATAAGCCCAACATCTTGAAAAAAAAATCTTCATTTTCAAAGTAGAGTTGGTCGTTTCCATGCTAATTGCCTCTGAAAGTTCTTAAGAAGACCCAGTGAGATCAAGCGACTGATGCTATGAAAACTGGAACGCTCTGAAGCAAGGCCAGGCAAAATGTCCATTTATACGCCTCTTTCCTTATGTATCAAGTTATATGCATATTTTTTTGTCTTAAGAAATCTTTTTTCATTAAACTAAATATTGTTTCTAGCAAGAGAAGCCTTTCAAGTAAGGTCGATATTATTATTCCTCACAAGTTTCATCTTGATTTATAAACATTTTATGCCAAGAATAATGCTGTTTCAAAGACAATAAGTGCCTGTTTTTGCCTGGGGCCACTGGAAGCCCTGCAAAAGAGTCAGGAGGAATTAAAGACATTTAATCATATTTCCCCATTTTTAACTGTTAGTTTTTACACTTCTGAGCCATTTCTCTCCTTTTGCTGGGCTCTACTGAGGCCCATAAATCTTAATTAAAGATGCAATTTTTTTCTTATGAAATCTGAGCTGCAAGAAACCTTTCATGTTTTTTATTTTTAAGACTAGCTCCATGTGTCGGCTCATAAAACAAATAAGACTTTTACACTCAAAGGATTTTGAAAGCTGTTATTGCTGCTGTCATGTGGAGCTGGTCCCATAATTATTATTATTGTTATTGTTATTTTATTTTTTTACACATGAGCTTCTGATTTTTTCGTACAAGCACAATGGGAAAAAAAAGGAACCTACACCAGGCTGGTGTAGGTTTAGAAAGCAGAAATGTGATTCAAAGAATATGAAAGAAATATAAGTCCTAGATTCTGATGGTGAAGGAAGGACTTTCCAAATGGCACTGGGTATAGGATCTTCCTGACCGGGTCCCCTCTAAGGAACATTTATTTAATGGGAATCTTCTCTTGACTGGAGTCTAATGGATAAGATACGCAAGGCATCTGTAACTACATTCTTTACACTTTCAGACTTGGAGAATGAGCTGAAATTTAGACCTCTGGACCTAATATTGTGATAACAGGTTCCAAAATGGCTGGATCTAAATAACAGGTACCTGGGAAGACCCGATTGTGTTCTAGATGATATTGCTCAGGAAGAAAGATGATTCCAATAATGTTATACAAACGTCTAATGAGATGAGCGGCAATGTCAACTTAGAGGCAGGAGCTAGAAAATTGATCTCATAGGACAGAGTAGAGCAGTGGTTACTCTGGGAAGGGTGCAGGAGAGTTTGGGATGGAGAGAGGATGGTTAATGGGTACAGAGGTATAATTGTACAGGAGGAAGAACTTCTAATATTCTGTAGCTGGGTAGGATAACTATGGCTGACAACAATTAATTGGACATTCCAAAATGCT